CCCTCCCTCCCTCCCTCCCTCCCTCCCTCCTTCCCTCCCTTTGGTAAATTATGGTACTACTGCTTCAATAGAGTGGAGTTAGATAGAATTAGAATGACTTTTCTAGAGTGTGCATTACCATTTAATAGATGAGAAAAAGAGCCATGCATTTTCTGAGTTGCTGCAGTTAACACTGGATATTCTGCAGCTCACTGACCTCTTTGCACAGTTCTCCCTATATAGACAGTTGTCATAAATGCTTCTGGTGAGCAATTGTGCCTGAAAATAATGGTCATTTGATATTACTGTTTGAATCTGTTTTTCTCCACAAACTCATATTTGAAGGCTTAACTCTCAGCCAATGGTAGTACATTGAAGGCTATGGAGATCTTGGGAGGTGTCACCAAGCTGGTAGAAGTAGTTCACTGTGGGTGTGCCTGTGAAATTTATTACAGTTTTGTGGTTCTCTAAGGGGTAAAACAATGGGGTAGGAACAGTGGGGAGCATAAGCAAGAGGACATGGGATCTGTTGGTCAAGCTATCTAGATAACTTGAAAGCTATTGTTAGGTGATAGTTCTTAAAGCCACCCCCCACCCTTGTAAGGGAATGGGATGTGAGGAGTCTTTTTTCTGTCTTCTCTTTATATCTTTTGAAAAGTCTGTATAAACTTCAGAAACTCCTCCCCATGCCAAATGCCCAAGTAGAAATGTATATTCCTTTGTGGCTGGTGTCTCCTATCTCTGGCATCTTACCTAGTATCAGAACCAGATAGCACATAAGTGGCAGGTCCACAGGACTCTCCAACACATGGTCTATATCACTTGTAAAAGGGAATCACAGTTTTCAGAGGAAACTCTATGTGTCTATAGCCAGTCCTGGAATTGAACTGTTGATATCCTGGAAGACAGTCCAGATATGGAAGATAAGAAAAAATAAAAGGCAGGGTTACAACAGAGGTGAGAGGACATGGTCACTATATAATCCTGATACTGAACCCTCTGAGATGAGGCTGAGAAGGGTTTAGACTATGCCTAGGAGTTAGACCATGCACAGGAGGTACCTATACCCAACTGTTATAGCAGGGTAGACCAAGAGGATGGAGGAATGCTGTAATGAGCTCTGTATAACCCATTGATTGCCTTTTCCTCCACTTATAGATAAGAACTCAAGCTTTCTCTTCATTGGATATCCCCTTAGTTGAATCCAAAAGAAATCATAAAGAGTTGAGTTGTTTTCTTTTGCCATTCAATATGATCCCAATATAATATGGGGGATGGAAAAACATGTCCCTTGGGTGGTAACTTAAATTTTAATACTGTGCTACAACTAGATCTGTTTTGCCTGGGGAACAGAAAATGTAATGGAATTCCATGTATTCAAACCTTTTATACCTTGAGGAACCAGAATCATTTATGTTTCTAATATGAGTTAAATTCTCATTGATGACTAAATAGAGTCTCCTGTATAGATAGACACCATGTGGAAGGGACACCTGGCTATAAAGAAGCCCTGCTTTCTCCCTCTAGACTATTACATATGGTGAGAGGTGGTTACCCTTTTTATGGATAACATGGTCTCCATGCCCAATCCATGTCCACATCCCTTTCTCCTTATGAACCTTGAAACAAATAAACCAGAAATTTGACAAATTTTCAGTTGATACTGATAAATATAGAGATTACAGCATCTGACTCAGGCCTTTAAACTGACTTGGATGAATATTATAATTGTGGTTCAGACTTGCAGCAGCTTGAAGAGGCAGAGGGTCTTAGAAATCTGCCAAATGTTTGCAAACAACATATATCATGAACCTGAGAACATACATGCTTGGGGTTATATTTCCGTTTAAATACCATGATTGGAGCAATAGCTATTAGGGGAATAATTTGAGAGACAGATTTCTTGGCAAATGTAAGGTAAGGGCTAAGAAATAGCCTCACCAAGCTGCTCAATTATGTAAACTCACTGCTGTAGGTCAACAAACATCAGAGAATTCTAGTGCTTTCTTGAGAAGATTAAGACTCCCACAAAACAAACCTCATTAAATCAGTGGGGAGGGATAGGTAATCCTGAAAGATAAATTTATCGCCCAGTTACCTCTGGACTTTCAAAAGAACTCCAAAAGCTGGCTGTGGGTCTGGCGGCTCTCCTTGATCATCTTAGCATTGCTATCTCCAGTTTTCTCCAATTAGGAATAAGAAGAGAGTCTAAAGTTCCCAAATCGTATCCATAAGAAGGAAGAATGAAAGACCCAGCTCTTGGCTTCCTTATAGAGTCAAAAGCGATACACTGTGCTCACAGGCAACTTCCACATTTGTTTGAAGCCTGATCATTGGAAGCAAGAATTCCCAACAGAGAATAGGCACAGAAACCATGTCCTCCATGCCGTTGATGAAGGCATTGGCAGTGACATTCTCCTCAGAACCAAAAGGAATGCAAGACTGGCTGGACAACTGAGAATCTGATGACTCTCCATGGAGGAGGCTCCCAGCCTCTTCTCGCAGCATACACCTCTGTTGCTATCAAGCCAAGGGGTGTTCTTTTTGCTTCAGGTATTGGCATTCCGTTTCTATTGGATATTGTGACATGCCCACTGTTCTTACTTCCATGAGGAAACACAGTCTCAGATCTCTTCTTAGGTAATAGGAGTTGAAGGAAAGACGCAGGCCCAGATTTTCATGCCCTCCAGCCCTTTTGGATGTGGGAAACTTGGACTTTAAGCACTTCTTCCTGGTAACGGTTCAGTGACCTAGTCCCATTTTTGGACAGGGTATTCTGATTGAGAGTGGGACAAATTTGGTCTTTGCAGATATTACAGGGGCAAATAGTACCCCTCAGCCATTGTTTCTGTTTTTTTATTCTCTATTCTTTGTAGGTGGGCCATTTCGCGGGGGATTTTTGAGGTAGCCTCCACCTACAGGGCAGGCTTTAGCCTGAGATCTGAGGGATTTGCGCTCTCCAGAAGCACAAATTCATTCATCGTATGTATATGATTTCTTGATTTGTTCCCTGTTATGGGACACAGCCATGGAGATGACTTTCAATTTCTTGGCTCAGTGAAGATACCAGGTTTTAAGAATGCCCAATTATTATGACAAAGGGTTGCATATCTGGATCTCATTTTTACACTGGGAAAACAAACTTTGTCTGCTACACAAGTCCAAACAATAGGTCATCAGCCAGCTAGTAGCAATTTAGGACTTTCTTAGGTGTGAGCGATTACTGCTGTGTATGGAGCCTGGGATATACTTTTCTTTCACTTACTGGCCTGTCAGAAACACATGTTGACTACTTGTTCTACCGTCGTTTTTTATGAACTCTTCTTGGGAACATAAGAGTTGGGGCTACTTTTATGGTTGTGGATTAGAGGGATACTTTTTAAACAGTCTTGTCTGTTTGCTCTAATTCATAGTTGACCATGATATAAGAAGTCTCTGCTGCTTGCTTCTTTCACCATATGCTTCTGTACCCCTGAGCTCTGGCCTTTCTGCTGTGATATGTTGAAATCCTCCTGAATCCATGCGGCTAAATAAGTCTTTTCTTTAATAAGCTCTATCTGCCAAGTATTTGGTCACAGAGGAACAAAGTAATACATCAGAAATTTCTAAGACTTGGAAATTATTTTTCTTTTGTTCAGAGGGATACATATGGATAAGAAATATGTTCAAAATATTAACTCTATGTATTAAATGTCTCCAAACAAGGCTTTACTCAGTAGACGTGTGAACTGTGAGGCAAAAAAATTGTTGCTTCCATTGTCCAGGAAGACGAAAAGCTTCTGCTCTTACTGCAGTCTCACACCTCTGACTTCTTAGTTCTGAGTTCCCTAATAGCATCTTAGTCTCTCAGTCCATAGCACCTGTGTTCCTTCCCCAAAGAGCTGGCATTTGACCCATCACTTTATCCTTATGTCTGTCCTTAATATTGCTATCGCTCTCAATCTCCTAATTGGAAAACCCAAGACTTTGGTATGTTCTCCTTCATCCATGTTTAATCAACCAACATGCTCTAATTTTCACAGCCATTTCTAATTTTTATTTTATGGTAACAGCATTCTTACCAGACTCATTGCTGTCAGCAGCACGGCCTTTCTTGCAAGATATCATGGTTAATATTGCCAACTTGACAGGATACAGAATCACCTAGAGGACAGACCTCTGGGTGTGTATGTGAGAGATTTTCTGAATTAGGTTGAGTCGGGAGGAAAGAACCACCCTATATGTGGCCAGTAACTTTCCAGGGGTTGGAGTCCTGCTTTACTCTAGGACTGCTTCTCGAGTCCTGCTTTCCAAGACTGGATTGAATGTGACTAGATCATGCTGCCTAACTTTCCCTCCATGATGGAAAGATTGTACCTTTCAAATTATATTTTATCACTAGAATAAGAAAAGTAACTAATGTCATTTTAATTTTTTTCTCCATGCTTAAAAATACAAAAAAATTCTGTCATTTTACAGTTTCAAAAGAAATCCTGAATTTTGATGTAAAAATAATAACTTTGACTTTACAAAAGCAGACCTCCCCTTGTCTTTAACATTTCCCTACTCCATTTCTTTTTGGCATTGATCTCTTTGTTCAGTGAATTTCTCTCATCATTGTCCATGAAGATTGTGGTAATTCTCAACTTTGGAGCTTTGCTCCTATCGGTTATTCTAGAGCAATCTTTCTACTTTTGATATTTAGTTTCAATACTGTATATTCTAAGGAACTATGACTCTAGCATGTCTTAATTTTTCTTTCACTTGAATTGCTCCAGTGATTTTAATTAATGTATTATGTGTTTAACACATAAAATATTTAATTTATTTGAGGTTGAGAAGTAGTGTAATTTTAGTATCCATGAGAATAAAACAAATGTGTCAGGAGCTCATCAACTGCTAACACACACACACACACACACACACACACACACACACATACACACACACACACATGTTTCAGAGCTTTACAAAAGATACTGAAATAATTGTGGACTTAACTATGGAATGTGGTGCTATTATGTATTATAACCAATGAGAGCTACCCAAACAGGTGCAAACAGCCATATCCACTTTCCTTCAGGGACAGGTGCACTATACCTGTGTAAATCAGCTACATAGTCTCTAGAGACATGGATCCAGTCATCCTCCCGCATGTGGTAGAGGTTGAGTGCATCTCGGGAGTAGGCATTTCTGTAGATGGTTTGGTAGATGATTCAGAGGGCCAGATTATATGCCTGCTCCATTTCTAGGTTATAGAAGTAGCCTCAATTCATGACCCCATAAACATTCATAGAGCCAGAAGCCACAGAAAAGACAGTTCCCTAAACGCTGTTCCCTTCACGGTCTACACAGTAGAGGCAAGGGCCTCACTTATCCCAGCCACAGATCAGGGTGCCGGTGGACAGTCCCATGCCTTTGTGCTGTTATACCATGTTAGCACGAAGTTTGGAGGCCGCTGCCATAGAGATGCATTCCTTATTTCGAAACTCAAAGATTCTACATTGCTGAGCCAACAACTGCTCCCAGAAGTTACAATCCGTTGCACCCCCAGCCATGGTGCCCAGAAGGTAAGGGTGGATCTCTATTACTTTCTTCACTGTCTGGGAGGCAGTATAAGCACCTGCTGTGGCCCAGGAATCAGGTGCAACGACTCCATGGCACAACTTGAAGGCCAGCGTGGTGGTTCCATGAAACATTTCGATTTTTGGCTCTTCTAGAACACCCTAGTTTGGTGCAGCAAGGTTCAGCCCATCACCAGGACTCCCCAGACCCAGTTCCAGCGGATCTTTCTGACTTCTGAGTCCAAAAAAACCATGCTGGTTCACCGGCACTGACTGCTCCAAAACGCTGGCCAGCGCCATATCTAATAAATATTATTTGATGTTTTTAAATCATCTTAACTATTTACTGGACACATAGCCTGTCAACTTCTCCTGAACAAAGTATTTGAGAAAGCTATTATTCCAAATTAGGGGTTCTGTGTGTCAACGGTCCTACAAAATGTATTGATTGTAAAAACAAAAAACAAAACAAAGCAAAACAAAAACCAAACCAAACCAAACGAAACCAAACTACCACAACAAAAACGCTAAAATAGTCTCGCCGGGCGGTGGTGGCGCACGCCTTTAATCCCAGCACTCGGGAGGCAGAGGCAGGCCTCTGTGAGTTCGAGGCCAGCCTGGTCTCCAAAGCGAGTTCCAGGAAAAAAAAAAAAAGTCTCAATGAATTAATTATAGGTTTTTCTTTTCCATGAAAATGTAGAGGAGCTTAGCCATCAAAGGGATTCTAATTAACGGTACCATTTTATTTAAAAATTTATTGAGAACCTGCAAATTACTGGCCACTGTGATGAGCATTGAGAAAAGAGGCATGGATTAGCAATGATTCTTTTTTTTTTCCTTTAGGATTTTTTTTTTATTCATTTTGCATACCAATCACAGATCTCCTTCTCTTCCCTCCTCCAGCCCCCCCCCCCAGCCTTCTCCCCCCAACCCATCTCCCATTCCCTCCTCCAAAAAGATAAGGAATCCCACGGGGAGTCAGCAGAGCCTGGTACATTCAGTAGAGGCAAGTCCAAACCCCTCCCCCTGCCTCAAGGCTGTGCAAGGTGTCCCACCTTAGGTAGTGGGCTACAAAAAGCCAGCTTGTGCACCAGGGATGGGTCCTGATCCTACTGCCAGGGGGCCCCTTAAGCAGATCAAGCTACACAACTGTCTCATCTATGCAGACTGGCCTAGTCCAGTCCCGTTCTTGACATGCAGGAGAAAAGTGAAGGATGAAGACTTGTAAACAGAAATTGTGTTTGTGTTGGTTGGAGATGGGTGGCAGAGCAAGGTCACATGCAGATTCCGGCATACAGGTGGGAGGCATTTTCTTTTCAAAAGGTAGTTAGCCCCATTCCATTTGGTTTCAACGCGAAACGAAATGATGCTATGTGAAGGCGTTGCATTCCTCTTTATCAGGCTCCGAGCTGTGCCTGCAGTGGATGGCAGCCAGCCTGGTGTTCCATTGTTTATAACAACAAATGATTTAAAATGAATAAAAGTCCCCTAAGTCCTGTTGTACAATGATAATAATAAGAGAAATAAACAACAGGCACAATTATTATTAAGTTCGTTGTTCTTGCCCATCTGCAACTGTGGCCATATTTCAGCATTTTATTGCTTAATTTAGAAATAGGTAATGTCAGCTGCCAAAAACAATTGAGAATATCAAGTGTAAGGGGACCAAACACAGCATATGGGCTGTGGCTGTGTATCCTGGAGATGACCTCCACTGCTTTGTTTCCTTTCACTGCTTGACAATTAGAGGTCCCAGGCAACTTACGGCAGCGAATAATTTACTCACGTCTAAAAACGGCACATTAATTCATTTTATATATTTGTTAGCTGAAGGAAATTGCACAAATCATCCCCATATACAATTCTACAAACAAATTTGCTATATCCATGGAAGAAATTATTAGATATCAATAGTGACTGTTAGCAAACAATTATAGCGCTAGCATTATGGTCACTCTGTTCTTTATAAAACCCATGAAGCCATCTAAATTTAGAACATTAATCTTGAACTCATGAGAAAATTAATCTTTTTAAGCCATATTTGCTTTCCCATTTGAACTTAGGATTTCTGGACTTTCTTCATTTTTTTTTTCTTGTATACTTGCCCTTCATATTGTCCTAACTAGGATTTGATTATTTAATTCCAAGTTCCTCTTGCTGGTTAATCATATATCCAGGTTTTAAAAGTCATCTGTTTGACAACAATACATAAATTTATATTTCTGGCTCTAACTTTATTACTGAACTCCAGAGTTATAGCTCCAAATATATTATGGACTTTGCCAGTGGAACTCATGATTTCTTTTATCTGCTCTATTTTCTTCAATATGAGTCCTCCTAATGGCCCAAACCAGCTGGGATATACTGTGAAATCCCCTTTGTTTATCCTTTGTACATGCAGACAGCATCTTCTTCTTCCTTTTCTTCTTCTTTTTTGATAATAGCTTCTTTTCTCACTCAATACACCCCAACCACAATTTTCTCATACAATACCCTCCCAATCTTCCCAGCTCTTCCCTACCTCCCTTCTCCCCAAGATCTACCTCTTTTTCCCTTTCTTCAGAAAAGAGCAGGTCCCCAAAAGACAACAACCAAACATGACAAAGCAAGATACAATAATAGAATGAAAAATCTCTCATATTAAGACTGGACAAGGCAACCTAAGAGGAGGAAAAGAGTCCCAAGAGCAGGCAAAAGAATCAGAGACACACCTGCTCTCACTGTTAGGAGTCCCACAAAACACCAAGCTAACAGGCTGGCAGCATCTTGATTCCATCCATGCATACCACCTCCACTGATGCAGTTCTCATCATTCCGTCAATTGTCTCTCATTGGGTGCTTCCGTGTCCATCCATGTATACCACCTCCACTGCTGCACTTTGGATCATTCCATCAACTGTCTCTCATTGGATGCTTCCACATCATCTCCTGGCTCTTCTTGTTTCTTCCTCACCCATTTACAATTAATTCTTAACACAACTATTAAAGAGAGCATTAAAAAATGCTTACCAAATTATATAATTTGACTACTAGGAGTTTTACATGGATTCTGTTTATATTTAATATATTAAAATCTTACTGTGGCTCTGAAAACCTTCTGCACTTCCAAACTCTCATCTCCCTGTTTCCTAATTTCTAATTTCTATCACTCTGTTATCCCTTCTGCTCCTGGGAAGTATTAAACTTTACCTTGATTTAACATCCTCGAGTTTGTTATCTCTGCCTGGATTCCTCTGCTAATCATCTCTATCATTTTTGTTATTATTGTTTTGATTTTTTGAGACAGGGTCTCTCTATGTAGCACTAGCTGTATTCTGGAAATTGCTATGTAGACCAGGCTAGCTTCCAACTCACAGAGAAGCACCTGCCTTTGCCTCTAGAGTTCTGGAATTAAATGTGCACATACACCACCATGCCTAACTTATTTCTATATTAAAAAAAAAAACGTAACTGGCTTCTTTTAGGTATTCAGGTCTCAGCATAAGAGTTGTCATATCTACAAGGATTTTTCTGATCATCTCATTTCAAGGCAATCCCATTTCTCTCAGTCTCCATCTTTCTCTTTTCCACTTAATTCTCTACATAGGGTTTAATATTTGACATTTAATATTTGAAATTCTGTTTAGTAGTACACTTATTTCTTTGGTGTTTGTGTATTTCCTATCAAACACTTCTTTACAAACTTTTCTGAATAGAGCGCATCTAAGATAGGGTCATACATTTTATTCTCATTACTTGCAGTAATTAAACTCTTTAAGTCATCATGAACACTAAATTAGCAATACTGACCTCTTATCACCTGTAAGAAACACAGTTTTAACAGATTAGAAGTACCCAACTCTTCCAAAGGGTATTTGGTTAGGACTTAAACACTGTTAAGTTATATTAACAATGTTAATATTGACAGGCTTCAATTTTAAGAATTTTTTTAGTGTTTACTTTTTCTTCAAATCAACTTGAGCTTTTGGGGCCCGGTCAATTTGATACTGACAGACACTGTCCTTAATGCATTTGAGCAATAAGCTGTGGACGAAACAACTCCTTCATCAGCATTTCACTGTCTTGAACACCATACATCACTTTGAGGAAACATTGCTCTAGTCAAAAGGTCAACTAAGACTAGAATGCTCCTGAAACTGTGACTCATATTCCATGAGGCCTCTCTCCAGGTCACGATTACTCCAGATATCTTATGCCTACTTTGGAAAAGTGCACTCTGGGCAAGACAAACCTTAGAGAATGCTAGACAACCTTGGCTGCCCTGTATCTGTTCTTACTTGGGGGTTTGGGATGATTCAGCTCCTCAATGACTCAGCAGAGAGCTTGTGGTTAGCCTTTATTAGCGGCTTATGGATGGCATCCTTGCAAAGCTTGTGATTAGTGGAGGTAGAAGCTAAGAGAAAGCATGCTGTATGTCCTTCTTCTACCTAATTAGGTAGCTGGTTTACCACTTTTTGTTTAGTGTAGGAGGGTTTCTCTCCTGTGTATACTCTTCTACCCCAATATTGAAAAACCAGGCTCGTAAAAGCTTCGGCTTAATGGTATCTCTGCCTCCCTGTAGACTTTATCACATGGAGAATAGAATCAGCTGCTTGCACAGCATAGGGAAGGCTCTAGGGTTTCCAGTGCCTGCAGTAGCTGTTCTCCTGCCAGTGAGGGCACCACAGAAGGGCTCTGCACTCTCTGATCAGAGAAATGCTTCTCTGCAATAAGAATGTGGCAGAAGAGTGCCTGACAATAGCTGATGACAGAATCTGAAAGATGCTGAGACCATCGAAGAGGAGGCATGAGGCAAGACTGAGGACTGCAGGTCTAGCTCCTAGAAGGGCATTAAAGAGCTGAGCGGTCTAACATCAAGAGCTCACGAGCTTTAGCTATAAATGTTAGGTTTAGGTACTTTAAAGCCATAAAATCAGGCATCTGTCTTGAATACACTGAGTAAGCCTATGGCTCTGAGAGCTTGGAGTCACCAGCTCTGGTTGTCAAGGAGTGGACAATAAATAAGTGTTGGTTAGCTCAGCTTTTGACCTTGGGACACAAGGGCCATCAATGTCAACAGAACTGCTCCTTACCTATCTACAATTTCCACTCAGAGGGAGCAAAATAACCCCCTGCCAGTTCTTTGTGCTGGCACCATCATTCTCATCAAGCAATTTTACTTACCTTTACTCCATGTGTTTGTTTCAAGATACATTATTTAATATATGTTGGTGATTCAGCCATAATAAACTTATGTTCAGTTGCATATGACTTATTCTGGAACAAAGCATTTCTAACACATTTTTCCTTTGTCACAGGCTTTTACACAACAAATCACAAACAAAAAGCACAAAATAGTGAAAAGGTGTGGTATAGACCTCTATGAGGATACCAGTTTACAGTGTGGAAGTTGAAATAAGAAGGCAAGCTCTCACATTGTTTAACCTTAGCCTGGAAATGGTACATTAGATCATCTCTGTTTGAGTGTCTTTGGATTACTGTGAAAACACTGTGCTGATATGGGGCTTACAAGTAATAGTCATTTAATATTTTGGTTGA